GCCCCTACCAGATGTATGACCATGGACAAGTTACTTAAGCTGTCTGTCCTGAATTTCTTTTAATTTAGGAAACCGCATCCGCTTCATAGGGTTGCTGTGAGGATTAAACAAGATAATAGATGTAAAGGGCTTAGGGCAATGTCTGGCATAGAGCATGTGCTCAGTAAATATTAGCTATCCTTTTAAGGGAGTGGAATTTTAAAAAAACAAGTGACATGATTAGGAACTATTTAAGGATGAACAAAGGAAACCATCTTCTTCTATTGATTACAGAAATATTCTCATTGTAGAAAAATTAGAAATTCATATATGCAAACTAAATCACAATCTGTTCCAAGTTTTTATATGCATATTCACATATATGTGCATATGAAAATATATTACACATACATGATATATTCAATAAATATATACAAAACAATAATGGAAATATGCTGTGCTATTTTAGACAGTTTTCTAGTCCAATTTCTACATTTTAATGGCTGAATAGCATTTTATTATATGAATAGATTTTATAGAACCAATACTGTTACTCATTTAGTTTGTTCCTAAGTTTCACTCAAATAATGCTTGGGGAAGTGTTCGTTTAGCTAAATTGTGCATATTATTTCTTCCCTTAGGGTACATTCCTGAAAGTAAATTGCTGGACCAAAAATAGGCGTATTTTAAAGCATTTTTCCTTTTCTACATTTTTTAAAAATAAATGTAATGCTGATTACAGAGAGGGAAGTTATGGAGGTTTATAGGAAAAAATTAATCTCTTATACCCACATATTTCTCTTTAATAGGTAACCAGTATTAAGTTTGTTGTGTGTTCTCTACTTCAGTTTGTTTTTCCTTTTTAATGAAAGTGAGATTAAATCCCTCCGATTACTTTGTACCTGGCTTTTATTCTACTTCTTCATATCTCTTGCCATGAATGTCTCTAGAGTTCTGACTTGCTCATTTATGAGCTGCAGAAAACTATGATTCAACCATTCTCCTATTGAAGAGGAACATTGCTTTAAATATTTCTGTTATTATAAACACTGCTGCAATTAACATTTTGAAATCTTTTGATACATATTCCCAACTTGTTCTCCAGCAGTTACCATTTTTGCATTCCCACCAGTGCTGGGATTGGTTCCTTTTACCCCTACCATCGAGCATGATTTTTGATCTTGTGCCAGTCTAAAAGGCAAAAACTGGTATCTTGTTGTTTTAATTTGCATTTCTTTGATTACTAATTAGATTGAACTTTCTCATATGTCTATTGGTCAATTTGCATTTCTTCTTTTGTGAAATGCCTGCTTGGGTCTTTTATGTACTTCGCCACTAAAGTGTTTTGTTTCTTGATTAAATAGATTATTTAACTGTCATGTGTTGCAGTTATTTCTGCCCAGTTGGCTTCTGCTTGTGACATCAATTTATGGTTCTTTAGGTCTTTATAGGCGATGGAATGATTTCTTTCTTTATTGGAGTATAATTAACATATGGTGTTTTATTAGATTCAGGTAGGCATTGAATAATTTTTATGTGAAGTCTCTCAGTCTCTGTATGTCTGCTTTACTGTCACTCTTAGGGCTTTACTAATTTATGGTTATATAAAGTTCTTTCTAATCTAGAAATACTGGTCTATATTATGAAATAGGGTTCTATTTTTTTCCTTTTCAAAAGATTAACCTGTTCTAAATCACCTTTTACTGAATATTTCCCATTGAGCTTAGATGCCACCATTATCCCATTAGTGACTTTTTAAATGTATACAAGTTTCTTTGAACCATTCTTTTATCTATTCCTAGATGTTTTAATTATTGCAGCTTTACAAAATATTAATATCTGATCAGGCATATACTCCCCCCTCATTACTGTATTTTTAAAACATTTTCTTCATTAATATAATACATTTATTACAAGAAGATTTGCAAATCATTTGATTAGATTCCTTGCCCCTTACATCAAAGAAAATACCATTGAGATTTTGATTGGAATAGCATTATAGGTAGTTATTTAATACTGAGAATACTGGCATGGAAAAAATGTAATCTCAAAACTTAATAGGTCTCCATTTATTCTGTTCTTTGTTTCTCAGTATGTTTGGAATAGCATTTCCCCCCACACAAGTCCAGGATCATTTTGCTGAATTTATTCCTAGGTATAATATGCTATCTGGCATGAGATCTCTTTATCCCCATTCTGCCTTCTTCCTCGGTATTGATATATTTGTAACCAGCTTTCTTACTGAGTATTCTTATTAGACCTAGTGATTTTAAATAGATTCTTGTGGATTTTGCAAACATATTGTGGTATCATCTGTAAAAAGTTACGATTCTAGTCTCCCTACAGCCCCTTCCACCACCCATTGTCTTTTCTTTTTCTTTCATATAGTATTGACGAGAATAACTGGGAATAATAAGAGTGATAATAAGTATTCCTGTACTGTTTCCAGAAATTCTTCTGGTTTTTACTACTAAGTTTTATCTTGGATGTTGGTGTTGTATCTGTAAATTTTCAATTTACAAGAGGCTTTAAATTAGAACAGTCACTGAATTGTTTACTGCCAAAGTAAAGCACACACATGGTAAACAATTCAGATTATAATATAGGTTTTCCAGTGAAAAGAGGACTTTATTTCATCCCTTCCATTTTTTTCTTTCCCTCAATGGTTCTTGGTTTCCTTTCATCCTTCCTTAGAGCTCTTACTTATTGTATGTTATACTACATAAAAAAAATTAAGTTTGTGTGAGAGACAAGGTCATAATCAATATTACAAGATTAGCCTGGAAGGAGCACCTTTGACAAGGCTGCTTCCTTTCATCCTTGAAGGTAGTAGAAGGATGTAAGATCTCCTTGTCCCTCCCAGGTGTTGCAGGGACCCTGGCCATATGTCCCTGGGTGACAGTGGAAGTGCACCATACACAGACTTGAAGCCTGAGCTTTCTAAGGAAATGACAGGCCCAACAAATTGACTTGGGGTTCACCTTATCCCACCACCAGAACACTGAGAAAATGGCTTGTTTCTTTTTCCATGGTATGTGTGCTTTAGGAACAGTTGGACATAGTTTGCAGAATGGTTGGGAGAGGCCCACTCTGAGAATGCAGGGAAGCAACTTCCTTAGGCACCTGAAGTCCTTGCTCCAATGGAGAAGAGCGTGTCTGAGAAAGGAGTAGGGGAGCTGAGGGAGGGCCTTGTGTGGCTTCTCTGCCCTGCGATTCTCTCTGCATCGGCTTCTATTGACTTTTTCTTCTCTTACTGTGGGTCATTTTTTTCCTGCTTTCTTACATGCATTATGATTTTTTTTTTTAAGATGTATTTGAGAGAGGGCGCAAGTGCAAGTGGAGGGGGGCAGAGGGAGAGAATCAGCAAGCAGACTCCCTGCTGAGTGCAGACCCTGACATGGGGCTCCATCTTGTGACCCAGGAGATCATGACCTGAGCTGAAATAGCTGGATGCTCAACTGACTGAGCCACCCAGGCACTCCATGCATGCATTGTGATTTTTTTTTTTTTAAGAATTTATTTATTTATTTATTTATTTATTTATTTATTTATTTGAGAGAGAGCACGAGCTGGGGGGCAGGGGAGGGAGGGGCTGAGGGAGAGGGAGAAGCAGGCCCCCATGTAGGGCTCCATCCCAGGACCCCAAGAACATGACCTGTGCCAAAGGCAGATGCTTAACCAACTGAGCCACCCAGGTGCCCTGCTTTTTTGATTGAGTGATTTTTGATTGAAGGAAAGAGATTGTGAATTCTGTGTAAAGTTGGTGAATATTTTTATATCCCTATAAATAGTCTTGAGCTTTATTCTAGGATGTAGTTAAGTTACTCAGAAACAGTTTAATCCTCTTGAGGTTTGCTTTCAAGCTTTGTTAGGTGGAATCAGAGTGAACTTTAGTTAGCTCACTAAGGAGACAATACTCTCTCAAATACTCCCCTCAATGTCTCACAAATTTCAATATTCTTCCACTTTGGCCCTCTCACATATGCCATGTATACTCAGCTGAAGATTCAAGGGGGACCTCTGCAGAATTCACTTCCCTGCAGTTTTCTCCTCTCCAGTAATTGGCCGAGTGACCTCAGTCATTGTGGCCTTCCTGGACTCCTCCTTTTCCTGCTTCACCCACAGGGACAACCAGACTCCACCAGGGCTCCCTACTTACAGGGTGGCCTGGAAACCCTCTCTAGGCAGTAGCCTGGGGCACTCCTGGGGTGCCTGTGTTTGCTCTCTCTCAGAGACCCCTGGCCTGGGCTACCTCCATGTTTCACGTATCCTGCACACCATTTTAGTTATTTCAGGCAGAAAGTTAACCAGTCCCTGTGATTCCGTGTTGGCCAGGGTAGAAATTTTAGAAGTACTCTATAAAAGTATAAAACACGCCTACTTTGAGAGTCCGTTGAAATGGTCTTTTACCACAAAACATGTTTTCTGACCTGTGGTTAAACATAGCCAGTAAAATTTCATGGCACTCTAAAATATAATCTGACTGTGGTAACATTCAAGTGGATCGATCTTTCTAGACTGGCAGGGATTCACAGTGTTTCATATAAGAATCTTACTCTGCTTCCTTTTTACATGTTTTACTTTACCTGGAATGTATGTACCCTTTTCCTTACACTTTGCCTTACATAATTGTTATAAACTCACTTCTGTTAGGGAATTGTCTTCTTCCCGTTATTTTTTCCTGTCCCTATGAGGGCCAAGAAGCATCTTGCATAATGATAATTTACTATTATTGAAATGTTGCTTTGTTTAAGCTCTTGAAATTCTTCTGTTGAATATCTTCAGGTTTTGAATGTCCTGGGACATCAACGTGACAGGGACTCAATGCCATTTTCTCTTTTTTCATTCTTGGGAAAATAGACCCAATTTTTCTTTTCTTCCCTCCCCAACTCACACAGGGATTGACACACAACACAGTCAGTAAAATTAATCATGATAAAGATCTTGTGGGTTTTCACTTTTGTTATACATAGAAGATACGGACACAATGGTTTTGATTGGAAAACTTAATTTTTTTTCAGGTGACTCCAAGTATGATGTTCAACGTAAAGAAGAATTTATTGAAGTCAAGGACATATTCTCTGTCAAACTGAAACGACGTTATTCTGCTAAGCAGCAGGGAAATGGTACTTTATTAGGTATCACACTCTTCATTTGTTTGAAAAAGGACCAAAATAAATTAAAAGATTCTACGCTTGATCTTATTAATTTAAGTGAAGACCACTGTGACGTGTGGTTTAAACAATTCAAGAAAATTTTGGCAGGTAAGTACTCTTCATGGGAATTTTTAATGAGTCCAGTTTACTTGCTGTAGGTTATTAATCTGAACATGATACTGTATTTATGAGTACAGCAATCCTTGATTATGTGAAGATTGTTTTTTTTTTCCTAGTTCGCTGAGTGTTTTTATCATGAAAATTGAATTTGGTATCTGTTTTTTCTACATCAGTTGTGATGATATTTTTTCCCCCCTCATTCTGTTGATGTGGTATATTACAGTGATTTTGGTATGTTGAGCCATCCTTGCATTCCAGAAATAAATCCTACTTGATCATGGTATATAATCCTTTTAATATGTTACTGAAATTGGTTTGCTGGTATTTTCTTGAGGGTTTTTATATCAATATTCATAAGCAATGTTGGCGTGTAGTTTTTCTGTTTTTTTTTTTTTCTTCCTTGTATCTTTTATCTGGCTTTTGGTATCAGGCTAAAGCTAGGCCCTTAGAATGAGTTGGGCAGTAATTCTTTTGAATGACCACTTCCATGAAGAAGCTTTGATAATCTGAAATAACATAGTTCTAAAGTAATTTAGTTCAGTTGAATTGTTTTTGAAAGCATACTTATTTTTCTATTCCTGTCTCTTGAGCTTCTATTAGAATTATTTTCCTTCCACATATGTACTGATGGTAAGTGTGTATATGTACTGGGTGGCTTGAGGACAACAGTTTGTCTCTATAAGGGTTGATTTTTCTAAAGGTTAATATCCAGAGGACAGAGAATATATGTACTAAAAATATATCATAATGAATTTAGTGTATCTGAAATTTCTAAATGCCATTTATATTTTATATACTAAATAAAATGCATGAATACAAACATGCAGTTTAGATTTCTAGAACATATCTAGTTAAAATATAATCAACTGAGTTTCAGGATTGATTTTTTTTTTCCTCATACATTTGTAAATCTTGTTTCCTTTCAGCCCATTTCTTTCTGTTTGCCAGATGGATCAGAGTAGAGGCAGCTGGTGTAGTTGATGGTGCAGTTTGGTGTTAAGGTGACACAGGGCAGAGCAGGGTGCCAGATAAAGAGCAGCCACGTGATGATGTTAGAAAGTTGCAGGCCAGGCATCATTGATCAAGAAGACCGAGGACCCAAGCTGGCCAAAGGCAACCAACTGATAAGGTTATGCCCATAGACAGGAGCTGAAGTGACATATTAAATCTAGGAGACCCTGTTACTAAGTAACCCATGCTTCCTTGTTAGCTCCCCTGGGACCTTCGAGGCGAGCTGATTCTTTTAAGAAGGCAGGAAACGACAGAGGCCATAGTAGAGTTCATGTCTTTGGAAACAGTGAATATATATATTTAACTAAAAGCATTCCACTTTAACAGTGGGTTTTTTATAGTGTTTTATTTTAAATTCATGTGAGAAGAGATTCTAAAACGTTTAAGTGAAAATGAAAAAATTAGTAAGTTCAGTAGAATTAAATTTCTTTGGGCAGGAGGTACTCATGAGACTCATGTTCTATAAAATAAGAAAGCCATTTGATTAGGAGAGGCAAAGCTCTTCCTTTCACTGAGGGTCTGAAAAAATTTTCTCCCATGGGGCTTATGAAGGGCTGGCAGAGTGACCTAAGAGGCAACTTGCTGCATGTGTCGCACCCATAAAACCAATAATAAGCAGAGGACAGCACAACAAAGCTCAATTTAGCAAAAGCAATTTTATAGGAGTAGAGAGGCTTATTGAAACAAAACAGACCACATGTACACACACAGAACAAAAAACACTGCCCAAATATTTTTCCAGCTTAATGAATGATGTTTTGGTTTGGTCTAGGATTAAAATCTAGGAAAATTACAGAGATGAATAAATTTATGTATCTTTTAGGATTTAATCTTCAGGGAATGTTACTTTTTGTAACTTTGATTTTGAGAAGAGTTGGGAAAAAACCCCTAAAAAAAGGTAAAAAATAGAAAAAAACAAAAAAAATGATTTTGTTAAGAGTTGGAGATTGTGAAATATATGAGGTCATATTCTCTGGCAAGTTTCCTGCAGGACAGTGATTTTGCTGATTCAAACAAATAGACTGACAGTTGAAATCAACCAATGCAAACAAACAAAACAGGGTTGAAATCCTCTAATAAAGGAACCCAACCAAGATGGTCTGAATGAATAACTTTGCCCCCAAGTGGCCTTAGCAGGTCTTCTAGGAGGAGCAGTTCCTCCTCATCTCCATGCCCCACAGAGACATTCCTGTGTCGATTTCATTATATACAAATGCATGGTTACAACTCCAGATCTCTCTACCAAACTTTATATTATACCAACATTTCCTTTTTAAGGTTACAGTTTTATATATATCTGTAACCTAAAACTGTATGCGTGTGTGTGTGTGTGTATATATATATATATAATGTGTGTATATATATATCTATATCTCAAGAAAAACGTTCTAAAACTGTAATATATATAATATATATGTATATATATTATATATGTAGTATATATACACATACATATATATGTATATATATATTACATATATATATGTTTTTTACACTTGCAAATCCATGTAATGAGTGTGTTCATTAACGTGCCTATCAACTGAGAGACCAGCACAGTTGGCTCAAGCCTCATTCCAGAAGTGGATGGGGGGGCCTGTGTCTTTCTTGAGGGAATGAGGGTGATTGTTCTTCCTGGTCCTCTCCGGCTCTGATTTGCAGAGTTGGGTCTATTTTGGATTATCCTCCCGTCTCGTGCTCACTGTCCCTGTTCCCTGCTACACTGCGTCAGGATTGGCAGATGGTGATTGCTGATTTCCATTTTTTTAAAAATCCCTACCCAAGGAATTTGTGTTTGCACGAGACTTTAGGGTGGGGGTAGAAGAGGGCAATACATAGAAATGTACATCATAAAAACATAAATGACGTATGTTTGAATGTTAGACATCACTATTTTAAGTTCCCAGACCTTGCTTTTAACTGGTTCTGTGGCAAAATCAGATTTAAAAAAATACATTTTTGTATGGATTTATTTTGAATGATGTCTTTAATCAGCAAGTGGAATTTATTTCCTGCCAGTTAATCAGCAAGTGGAATTTATTTCCTGCCAGTCTTCTACATCTCCCCCTCACCCCTTTTTTTTTTCTGTGAAGATAAATGTGAAGAAAACATTAAAAGCCTCAGCTAGTTTTTCCTTTAGTCTAATTCATCTTACAATTAGAATTATAGTATATTTGGATATTAAGAATTATTTTCAAATATTCATACTTATATTTTGAACTGGAGCAATGAAACAGATGTGATGATTTTTTTTAAAGATTTTATTTATTTATTTGACAGAGGGAGACAGCGAGAGAGGGAGAACACAAGCAGGGGGAGTGGGAGAGGGAGAAGCAGGCTTCCCGCTGAGCAGGGAGCCCGATGTGGGGCTCGATCCCTGGACCCTGGGATCATGACCTGAGCCGAAGGCAGACGCTTAATGACTGAGCCACCCAGGTGCCAAGATGTGATGAATTTTTGAGGAAAGAACAAATAGGCAACACTAGAAAGAAGAAAAAGGCAACTCCCAAATACTTGAAGTTTTAAGACCTAGACAAAAAGTGACCAGATTAAAGTTTATATTTATATTTACATTTATATTTATAAAAAGGGAGTCTTAAAACTCTTTCAATTTTTATTTGAAAATAAGTCCTCTTACATTTCAGGTTTTTAAAACAGTTAAGCACAGTATCTTTTTTAATTCTTAGTAATAGAAAAGTCACCATAACTTTATTGACTAATAGGCAATATTAGGTTAATTCATCCAACACACATGTTGTATCAGGCCTTGTGTTAATTGCTGGGAATACAAAAATGAATGAGATATATGCTGTGTAGAGCACTCTTGCTCTGGGAGACAGAGAGGAAAATATGAACAGACCAATAGGGAGCATCACCATTGATCATTGATTCAGAAATTAAAATCTTTAAAAAATGCAATTGAATAAGGCTAGTATATCGTCACTGATAAACCTAACATATAGTTACTGTGGTGAAAGTAATTTAATAGTTTTTTTCTGCTTTTTTTATATGTGTGATACAAAGATAAACATGCACAACCTTTAAATAAAGCATGTGTGTGCACTGGCCATGTTAATTTTTATTCAATTAGGGTGCAACCCAGTCTCTGCATATTTGGGTTTCCTGGAAATGGTGAATTACAAGCTTCTCTGGACCCAGAGCCAACCTTTTCTTTAGAAACCATAACCTATACTTTAAATCATATTCATAGGCTTTTTTTTTTTTTTTTTTTTGGAGGAGGGGAGAGAGAGAAGGGGCAGAAGGAGAGAGAATCTTAAGTAGGCTCCACGCCCAGCACAGAGTCCGATGCTGGGCTGAATCCCGTGATTCTGAGACCGTGACCTGAGCCAAAATCAAGAGTCAGCCACTTAACTGACTGAGCCACCCAGGTACCCCCATATACATAGGCTTTCTGACAGGTACCCTACAAAAAAGAATAAAAGTACCCCTCAGGTGATGTTCAGGGCCACTCAGAACTGAACAAGTTTATAGGAGTGAACTGGTTCATCTCCAGTGGAGGACTTAGCAGAAGGTTGAAGAAGTAAGGAAAAAGATTAAAAAAAAAAATTCTGAAGTCTCATGACCAAGTAGCTTGGAGAATGTAGTGTCCTAGAGAGAACAATGAAATCAGAACACTGGTTGATTTGAAGGAAAGATGTTCTGTTCAAGACACATTTGGGATATATTACAGTATCCTGTTGGAGATATTTAGTAGGCTGGTGTTTTGAGAGGAATACATGAGGAGGTAAAGAAGAGTTGATGTGATGGGCACGATGAAAGCTTGTAAGAAGTAGTAAGGAATTATAAAAAAAAAAAAAAAGGCTAAATACAAAATCTTGGGTGATACTCATATATTAAAATAGAGAAGGGGTGCCTGGGTGACTCAGCTGGTTAAGCATCTGACTCTTGATTTTGGCTCAGGTTATGATCTCGGGGTCTTGAGTCGAGCCCCCAGGTGGGCTCCGGCTGTGCGTGGAGCC